GTTGACGTTCTGGGACGCCGTGTCAACTTCAGCCTGTTACATGCATTGTCTGTTTTCAAAATACACTTCTGTTTTCACAGGAAATGAACAGTTTGATACAGTCTCTTTCAAAATACCTGGACTTTCACTGCCTTAACCTTCGTTCTTGATGCCGCCAAGCGCCGTTAAACCATAACAGTGACCGACTGTGTATCACACTGACATTAAAGGACGGCTTTTTTCACCAGTGTCTGACGCTGCAAGTCACTGCCTCATCGCCAGATTTCAACGACTTTGGAGTGCGACCGAGTTGGTGCACCGCGTGTCATGTGACGAGGAACAACCAATCACAGCTGGTAGATATATTTCCCTTCTTTAATAGATATCAGTCTGTCATAAATATGGAGGAAAAGCTGATCAGGTGAGCTTTACATCTGTCCCACGGACGATACTTGAGGCCTACACACTGCTCTGCACTCAGGATTTCAGGTGAACAGGCTGTGACACTGCCCCACGCTCATGAAAGGAAACTCAGAGTTCCAAAAAAGAAAAGAAAGAACGAGTAGAGAGGAGAAAGAGAGCAAACTCACTTTGTACAAAGAAAAAAAACATTCAACAGATGTGTGAGAGAACCATGATCCAGAGAGGAGGGGCGGGGGCCAACAGAGACTACTGGGCCCAGAATTTGGTGCTACGCCCCTGGAGAGCAACATGAACTCTTTGAGTGATAGTAAAACAATGTTTGTTCATCTGAGTTTGAATTTAAATTAAATGAAGATCAGTGTTTTCTCACCTGAGGCGCAGCGGCCCTTGTTCTGGACGCTGATGGGCTCTTTGCCTTCTTTCTCTGCGCTCGCACTGGCTTTCTTCAGCGCGCAACCGCTCTTGTACGTGACTCCGTCGGTGCCGCAGACCTCATAGTTGCTCTTACACACGCACACTCCCAGCTTCTTCTTATTGTCCTCGTCGCTTTTGACGCACTCCAGCCCGGGGCCGCAGCGGCGCGCTGCCGCGCGGCGCCCACCGCACACCTCTCCCTCCGCGGAGGCGCACACGGTGCAGCAGCCGCAGGCGTCCAGCAGAGAGCCGGCAGCACAGCCGTCCACCGGGACCGGAGCGCACTGAGCCGGGTCACACGGTCCGCAGCTCGGACCCGCTGAGACCCGGACCGAGAGCAGAACCGGAACCAGAGACAGAAGGAAGATGAAGGACTTCATGATGATGAGGTGGAGGTCTGATGTGAACTGTGATGAAGTCTGAACACACTGAGATCTGATCTCAACACCCAGACCCGATCAATGCTGCTGGCTCCGCCTCACACCGGAGACCAAGACCTGATCTCAGACCCGCTCTCACCCACAGCACAGCGGGAACAAGCAACAATGGTAATAATAATATCAGAATTTTAATAAAAACAAGTTAAAAGGAACCAACGCCCATTTTTCAAAATCCATCCATATCATTGGACTAAGAGAGTCCAACAATTTTATTACACATGAACAACTGTCTCCCATATCCAAAAACTGGAGTGATAGGGGCTGTTCGTTATTTATAAGGGGTGGTGCAACAAGGGAAGGCAGGTCAAATAAGTTTTTATGGGTTAGTGGAGGGGCATACAACTTTAAATGACTGGATGTTGTATTTATTTTACAGCAGACTCAGGTTGGGAAGTTTCCTTTAAAAAAAAAAAAGATCACCAAATTTCACCACTTCTCACAGAAATTATCACCGGATTTTCAAATTTCAAGTGTTCCTTGGACACATCGTGTTCAGGACGGTTCACTTACTGTGTGACTGTAAAGCGAAACCCTGTTCTTTTGTCCTAAACCCAACCATGTGCATGTGTTGTTGGAGGAAAAAAAACGTAGTGCTTTTATTTTGAAAGAGACTGTATGCAAACTGTACATTTCCTGTGAAAACAGAAGTGTATTTTGAAAACAGACAATGCATGTAACAGGCTGAGGTCGACATGGCGTCCCAGAACGTCAGCAACCAACACACCCAGGGTACCTTGGACGTCATATGTGGACGTGGAAAGTCCATGACCAAACGTGGACATGTGACGAGGTCGCAGTGAGAATGTCTTGAATTTATGGTGGAGGGTGGTAGTGGATTTTCTGCCGGTCACTCAGCGAGGCTTAGGGAAAAACATTTGGAGCTTTGGGAGCTCGTCTGATGAGTATGGGGGCTGCCTTGGACGGGTGCCCCGAGCAGTTGGGGGTTTGGTGTCTCAGACAAGGGCACCTCAACAGTGCCAAGGAGGTGTACGGGCACCTCTCCAGCTACCAGTCCACGCTCCAGACTTGGTCCATGCGGGGACTTGAGCAAAGTTTTTATTTTCAAGCCTGCTATCCTTTTTTTAAAAAAGATTCCTTGTCAGCTGCTGTTGCGCACATACACTGCAAAACTTTTAAACAAGAAATACAAAAGGACCCATTTAAAGTGTTTATGTTTCAGATGGTCTGTATAGACCATTTTAGGGCCGACGTCACGATGACATCATGTTATCAGCTGGAGG